TATATCTATTTCCTGCGTATACCTATTTCCATATATCTATTTCCTGCGTATACCTATTTCCATATATCTATTTCCTGCGTATACCTATTTCCATATATCTATTTCCTGCGTATACCTATTTCCATATATCTTCCTACAATTCTGCATAACCTTTTACAAACAGTCTTGTTTTCAGAGCCTGAAGTAAAGAAAAGCAATAGAATACAAAACGGAGAATCACTTTGCACTACTTTTCCTGTTGCCGCTCTCAGTGTCAGTTTATGGAAAAAATTTAATGGGCCTGTTATGTTCAATACAAATGATCCTCCGCGTATCCAGATGTACTACATTACATTACTGAACAGCTGCAGTATTGTGAAGCTTTTCATCCTTTGATGTCTAGCTGGAAGAGGTGAAAATTTTCATTTAATGGATGCCCGGCCTAATGGATGTAGAAGCTTTATCTAGTTCAGGTAAAATTTTGCTTTTCAAATAATGGAGGCAAGACAGGAGTTTGGTTGACAGTTTATGAACACTAAGTAGTTACAGAGTATCTTTTTAATTATTTCTCTTATACTTAATAAGAATTTCTCTCAAATATACTACATGTAATTCCGCTCGTCATTTTTATTGGGCCTCTTGAAATCTCGAGACTATAGAAATAATTAGCGTAATTGGTAATTTTAAAAGGTGATATCCAGGTACCATGCAGAAATACCCTCAAAGAAATACTAGCTTTCCTGGCCAGCAATCTAGCTCGTTTCAAGCAGTACTTGTCAAAATAACTACATTGATTCAACATTTTATTTTACGAAAACTTTTTTGTATAGATGACGACCGAATGGAAGACAGAACTGTAACTAAAAAATATGCATAGTAAAATTCCTTTGAAGAAGTCAAACAATTCTAATCTAAGGCATGTAATAATATTGCGTTTGGAAGAACATTTTAGTAATTAAAACCAAGCTGCAAATATTTGTAATTAATGTTGGATAATTTATGAGTTAAACTTATTTTAAATTTTTAATTAAATATCTAGTTGTAACTAAAGTTTTCCTCTAAAAAACGTTCTTAATAAAGTTAAAAAAATATACCTTTAGTGAGGGTAGTAATCACCATCCAAATCTATGACTTTCTGCCAACGTTTTGGTAGTTTTTCAAAGCCTTTGACCCAGAAACTTGATGGGCGCGAATTCAAAAACAGATCAACCTCATTTCGGACGTCCTGTGCAGAATGGAAGATTGCACCAGGAAGATGTAGCTGCAAGTGTGGAAAAAGGTTGAAGTTGGAAGGAGCAATGTTAGGCCTATAAGGTGGTTGTGGCAAAAGATCCTATTGGAGTCCCTATAGAGTCCAGCAGGTAAATGCAGGCACGTGTGGTCTTGCATTATCTTGATGAAACATTACCTTTTTATCCCGGAACTCAATTCGACGTTTTTTTTCCTGATAGCAGCATCAACACGGACTAGCGTTGCGCTGTACATCTCATTGTCGAGGATTTTACCTTTTTCTGGATACTCTTTATTTATAATACCACTAAAATACCACCAGATACAAAGCATTATATTTTTGCTAGTCAAATTGTGTTTTGCGACGATGCCGGCGGGCTCGTCGAGCACAGACTAACCCCTTTCCACCCTTTGTTGTTGAAGTAAATCCGCCTTTCGTCACAAGTGACAACCCGGTCCAGAATTTTGTCCTTGCATGGATATTCGAGCAGATTAGTGCAAGCCGAACAGGTCAGCTTATCTGCTTGAGTCAGCTCATCTGGCGCGATTGAAATTGTGCCTCAAGTTTGTGAAATGCATAGCGTGACTTATGGACATGGCACTAACGTCTAACTCTAGCGAGCTCTCGAGTGGTTGCATACTGATTTTCTCAACACCATTATCATTAAGCCGGGCAGAGCACTCTGCTTCTTGAATGTCAGAGTCGTCGTTTTTCAACTTTCGGTACCAAACCTACACAATGCTATACGATACAACATTAGTACCTAAAGGTTTATACGTGATTTGGTCTTTATTCTGTAGCCGACTTTTTTGAACAGAACTGAAAATAAATGATGGTTCTAATCTGATAGCATAATAATTCCATTTCAGACACCTTGCTATATTTTTTTATAGTGATTTTTCACGATATTAATGATAACGATATTTGTTTACAAATTTCACAGCACAGTGTTCTAAAGCAAGTCTCTTTCTTTCAAATGCCAAAAGTTATTCAACAAAATATGATTAAATATGCCAACGCGAACTGTTTGCGAAGACGTTATTTGCGTTGGCAGAAAAAATTGTTACAACACGATATATTTTTTATAATAAAATTATGATTTAAATTATTAAAAACTCCTTTTATTGCTTTAAAAATTGTTTGTTAAGCAATCACAATTTGAAAACTAAACTAAGGACTTCATATTATACCGCATAAAAATACTCTCAGAATTAGATATTTAACAAGGAGTATGGATGAGAAAAGATTTAAGGGGACTCGGTACCTTTGAATGAATTTTTTTAATTAAGAACTTTCATTTAATTTTTATGAATATTCTTAAATGTTGTTATTAAACGTATTATTTTCAAAAAAAAAAAAATGTGGTAATTTCTTTTTAAAATTTCAATTAATTTTAAAAAATTAAAAAATTTAAATATCTTTCTTCTTCTTCAGTTTTCAATGTTCTGCTCCCAAAATTTTAAAAACATTTATTAGAATGTTCTTTAAAACTTCAAGGATCGATTTTGCAATTAATGAATTAGTTTTCAAGAAAAAAATAAAATACATCTACATACGTAAAAAACTGAAAAAAAAAAAAAAAAAAAAAAACATGATTTTCATTACATTTTTAGTAGCAGTAATTTTTTTTTCCAAAATATTGCAAAATCCATCCTTGATTCTGTTACATTATTCATAATAACCATTCAGTGAAAATATCATTCAGTTTGGTGCATATTTGTCAAAGTTTTAGGAATTTAAGTAAAAGGATTTATTGAAAAAGTGGAAACTGAGAAAACGCAGTTTAAAGAATGTAAAGTCTTAAAATGGTTATAAAAACCTTTCGAATTTTTTAAATATTTTTTATACTTAATGTCAGTACATATATTTCTAAAATTAAACTTATTGCAATTCCATTGTGTAATATAAACAATAATTATAAGCTTTTATTTAAAACCTTACCTGACCAGAAAATACCACATGAAAAATCATAAAATGTAAATACTACTTTCCTTTATCAGTTTTCATTCATTATCACATACTCAAAGCAATTTTAATATATGAATCAATTGTAATATTACTAATAATACATTTCCTAACTATAATAATAATATTAAGTGGTTGTTTAATTCAACTTTTTAAATTTTAATAAACGGAGCAATTTTAATAAAGCATTTAAATTATTTTAAATTTTAGTTAAGCACAGAATAAGCATTTACAGAATCATTTTGTTCAAAACTGTCCAGCACCAATATGTGATTCCTTCCCTTTTTTTAAGCCACTTTGTCTCTCGTCTACGTATTGCCATTTTAACTAATTTACGAGCAAGCTGGCTACTGTCATTTTTTCGTCTCTTTCTAAAGGAAAATTTGCGGACTATCTAAAATAGTCGCAAGTTTTTTTTTGTTGCATATCCCATAGACACTTCCTAAAACTTTTTGTACTTCTTTTCATAGTGCGTACTGTTTCCTTTGTTAAATTCAGCAAACTGCTTCTGTTACAGAACGTTTCACACGTAATTTATGCACAAATATTTCTTTTGGACACTTGGCCCAAATCATACTATGTAAAACTTTCGTTAGCATTTTGCGTTCTGCAACCTACACATCTTTCTAGTAGTTCATTTGAAGCAAAGCCTCTGATAAATTGGAAGAATTTTGGAAGATATGTCTCATTTATTGGTGTTCCAATTTTCAACTTATGCTTGTCTGGAATTTCACCTTTAGCTATTGCTGACTGGTAAAAGCACCAAGAATTTGCCCTGTGGGACATTTCGAGTGTTGAGGTTTCTTATCTGTGGAAATGCTATGATAGAGCGTCGCATATATTGCTGTTTTCATAGCATTCACATCCCCCTTATGTCGCAGAATAGCGTTTTGGTAATACCTAGTCAGCTTTTTAATCGTTGCTTCTTTCAAGCTACCATGAGACTTCCCTCCTAACGTAACGCCTTGCGCACGCCAGTCTTTTACAACAGTTCTCAATCCTGTTCCTAATCTTTTACTGACATGGTTTATGCATTCTTCCTTTCTTATTTCAACATCAGAACCATAAACCTTTTTATCACATAAGTAATTAAAAGTTTTACAGTCACCATCAGATAGTAGAGTTACGTATCGAAATCCTAACGATACGGATCGTTTCCAGAGAACCAATGCAGCCTCCATTTCCATTGAACCAGATGATCCTGTGTGATTTAAATCACTCACTTTTATGGCCATCACACCATATTTTAATTTCTGCACTGGATTCCTTGAATTCCTTCTTTGCTAATGAACACTGACGGCACATTTTGCTCATTACTTCAAAATCGATCACGTAACACGTGAGAATATCAATTACACGTCCTACTCCTATGAGTGACGAATACGTTAGCCACGTTCCATCAAAGGAAACATCTATATTGACAATTTCTGTAGATTTTGGCGAGATTTTTAAATATGCAGTTTTCACCTCCTTACGAACTTCCGCAAATATATTTTGTGATGCGATGGAATATGCATAATTTAAACGTCTTACATATTTGGTGTATGTCCTCGATGAAAAGGGTAGGATATTCATCACCATATAAAACTTTTTCGATGGCTGAATAGCCTTTTCCTATATGAGAGAAGGCTTGCGTTACACGCAACATTTACGTCATACCCAGGAGTTAGCTGTCTTCCTGCAAGAGTTTACGGTACATTTTTTTTTTTCCTCACATGATACACAAATCAAATTCAAATCATAAGAAAATCCTAATTTACATCCAAGTTCAAGCTTTAATGTCTGTTTTTCACAATCAGTACACTTTACAAAACTGAATAGCTTATTAATTTGTCGAAAATCCACAAACAAAATGTTCGGCATTAGATGCTTCATTCTTTTTTACAACAGATAATTTCTGTAGCCTAATATTGCCTCCAATATAATTTTCCGAACCGCTGCAGTCAGCAACTTCATCACTGTTTTTACGCCACCGTTTTCTACTCATTTCCATCGCTCGCAAATTCTTACGTTTCTGTCGAGGCATATCAAAATTTAGCTGATTAATATAAACAAATATATATATTCTGAGCTGAGTAAGAGAAAAAAAATCCACACAAGTCAAAACAGATTGCAATTTCAGTGAGCGAAAAATGAAAGGAAATATTTATTCAAACTGCACACGCCACATGTAAACAAAGTTTGCCGATAGTTACAGTCACAGTTAATCGCGTTACCTCTTCTTCTGCGCTTATAATTAAATAAATAATATATATAAAATTAAGAATTTAAAGAAAGTAAACACTGGGGTGGGCGTGGCATTTAAAGAGCTGTCAAAATTATTAAAGTACTTTTTATATCATTTATTATTGTCAGATTGCTTCAAAACTTCTCAGCGAAGCAATGATATTGAAAAAAATTTTTAGCAAAAAATTAGAAAATCGTTATTTTCATCGTTTTTCGACAAACTTAGGGTACCGAGTACCCTTAATAGCGCGTTTTAACGTAATGTAAGGTAATGGCCTTCTAAATTGGGAAAAACACAGGTAAAGCCATTTTAGCGTCAAAAACCGAGATATTATGTATTTTTAAGTTAATCGCGTAACTGTAAATTTCATACTAGCATTCCTACACACCTTTTAAATATTCAGTGAGATTTGAATCACCTCGTATATCGGCAAAAAGAAATCACATCGTAACGTATTATCAAATGTTCAAGCTATTGGAAGAAAATACTCTAAAATTAATCACATAATCACATCAGGACTCGGAAATTTACTAACTAAAGACTAAATATGTTGAATTTCCTAAGTCTTTGGTCAGTACTTTTATTTACAATAATCCTGATGCATTAAGATAATTTAATAATAAAGTTTCCGAAAAGTAAGTGCTTAGCAATGACATTTTCTATGAAAGCAATGAAGTTCAGTTGGTTCTTTTGAGTGTATGTATAGATTTTCGATATTTTATTTTAATTATCCTGAAATTATTTTTCTTAAACAAAATTTCTTCTGAAGAGGTTTTATTCTATCTAATAATCTTTGAAAATTCTGCCTCTTTTTATACTGTATGTTATTTCTTACACTTCTTCAAACTCGTAAAAAGTTTTCTCAGTTCTTTACTTCTAACAGTACAACCTGTCACATACACTACGCTCAGATGCACATTATGATAATGCACTCTCATCCAGTGCCAACTCGTATGCTTGATTACACTCTACCAACCCTTATCACTCTCTTTCCCCTCACACCCTTATCACTTTATTTCCTGGCGTCATTTTCTATTCAGTTTTTATTACTAAAAAATGTAACCGACACATTTTTCAAGATTAAATTCTTCAAACAAGTGAATCAAAAGTGAGCAATTCGAAAGACAAGCAAAAAAGAAACCGCATTTTTAATCAATGAAAGCTCAAGTACTGTCACACCTAAAAACACGTTTCTACGCATTTTTCCAAATTCTTTACCTTGTGTTGATTTATCGAAATTATCAAAAATGTTTTATTAATTGCATTTCTTTCCCAAGAAAAATTCATGGAAAATCTCCTATTATAATAGGGAAAAACGACAGCTAAAATGAAAGGAAAACAAATGCTGTTCATTCAAAGGGAAAATACAACTTAATGTTGTAGTATCTTAAATAAACAGGCTGACCCAAAAGTCCGTTAACATTAGGAAATTCAATAATTCATTGAATAATGTCGGTAGAGAGGTTAAAAACTGACACACTTGATTGAAAATTCATGGGATTTTATTGAAAGCAAACAAGTGCTTAAAACGGCTGACAGATGGCGCTGCATAGGATAACAAAAACAATAATTAGCATAACAATTGATTTTTAGCAACAGCTATGTTCATTATAACAAATGTTCAACATGTCGACAGTCATTCGTCAACAGTACATATATATAGTCGAGGGACAATGTTGTGAAAAGCACTGTACAGCATATCTGGTGAGAAACTGCCATCGGATGTTGTCTTTTAGCATCGCTAACGATGTCGGACGATTGCGGCAGACTTGCGATTTCAGATAACCTAACCAATAATCGCACGGATTGAAATGAGGCCTAAGAGGCCAAGCATAATGGCAATGGTGGCTCAGCACACGATCCTCACAAAACGATGTGTGCAAGAGCTTTCACTTGTGTAGCAATATGGTGTGGAGCACCATCCTGCATAAGTCATACCTTCCAACAGGACTTTATCAGCCAGACTAGAGATGATGCGATTCTGTAACATATCAGCACCCGTCACACTGATAGTTTGAATAGCAGAACACGCATGTCTTTGAAAAAAAAAGGATCCGATCACGATGGATGTGATAAATCCACATCACACCGTGACCAACATCCGGAGGTAAGGATAGAAAATTGGCAAAGTCATGAAGGACTTATTCCCTTTCTTACCGCAGCTCATTTCATACACGATTCTCATGCGGCGTTACTGACATTTTGCTGCCCAGCGCCATATGTTGGCCTTATTTGTAGTTTTTTTTTCCTTTCAGTTAAGCCCCATGTCATTTCAAGCATGTGTGTCAATTTCTACCTCTCTACCTATGCTATTCAGTGAAATGTTAGTGGACCTTTAGGTCACTTTGTACATTGTTAAGACTAATAAATATTGCCTCGGAAATAACAGACAGGCTTTTGGTATATGAGACTGCCTGATAGGGGATATACAAGAGCTTCTGCGACTTGACGAATAGTAACATTTATATCTCAAAATAAACTCATCAATATTTAAGTAATATTCAGCATATTACTATAATCGGATAATCGGAAAGAATGTAGGATATTCAGACATTTGTCGTATCGCTCAGCGCTACAGAATGGGTAATGGTACATCTGGGCATTTCATTTTGCATGAAAATAATTGATTCAAGATATTGTTCGTTTTAATAAAAGTTATTTTACAAAAAAAAAAAAAAAAAAAAAAAAAACATAGTTTTGGTATTTTCCACGAAAAGGCTCATTACCACAGTTGTTCACAGTATTACAAAATATAATCAAAAGTTTTTCAAACTACTAAGAATGTTAAACACAGTGCAACGCAAATCCCATCTAACCAGCAAAGTTCAAACGGAGATATCTCCATACTCCGTAGTCGACTTTGAACTGAGAAACTTTTCCCGGTCTTAGAAAATTTTTCTCCGGCGGTCGGAGAATCTCAAGTACCTTCCCTTTCTGGAAATTATTGAGAGGCATATACGGTTACATATAAGTTACATATAAGAGGCGGGTACGGTTGCAGCTTTATATACGGATCAATTACAGTTATTCAGTTACAACACCAATTTTACTTAAATAGGGGCCGGACTAAAATATTGCCAATTGTCGCCCAAAATATGGCGATTTCTCACCAGTTTAGCGGGATAGCCATTTACTTCAATGCTAAATAAATTTGCCCCGTAATCGTAACTTTTAGGCAATTTTTCAAGCACTTCGTATTACATCATACAAACAACACTACAATTTTACTTATAATTTTATTAGAGTTATTTACATATATACAAAATTCGTAACAATATTATCATTACTACAGGTTGAGCTAGGCAAAAGGTTTGATTATCTTGCGATTTACCCTAGTGCAAGACAGCAGTCATCTCAAACTAGCGGCCACATGCGAAGTAAATTTGTGCGCTTCTCGAAATGATGCATTTCTTATAAATATGGTGTTGCAGGAATGTAGAGATTTTAGTTATCTCAAATCCGAGTTCACATTATTTTCATTACAATTAAACACAAATGATGCTGAAGTTAGATGATGTTGAAAATTTTATAGGTAATAAAACAAAAGTTTTTTCGAAAAATTTATAAAATTATTTAAAAATACAAATTTTAAAAATAAATCATAACCAATGGGCGAATTTTATTTGGAATGAAGTTAAATTTCGAACTCTGGAAGAAGGAATCAAGTAAGTTTAATAAAAAAAAAAGATATTAATTAATATATACGAAATTCAATTAAAATTTTGAGAGTTAATTTTTTGAAAACTACTCGTGAGGTTTTTATAAAACCTGGCAGTTTGACATATTTTGAGTCATACAATTGAAATATTGAAAATAATTGGCTTGTTTTTCAAGAAAAGTCAAATATGTTGTATCAAAATACCTATACTACAACAATGCTATATATAAATCTAATTCATATCCTAAGTCGCGCTTTCGAGCCATTAAAAACGCAAGCTGAATTTCCTCAATCGGCCCAGTAGAAAACTGTCCCTTTTTTTTTTTTTTTTTCCTGTTAAATGTACAGATAAAAGTGAAAAATTTACTTTTATTGCACTGATTGACAGTATTCATATATCTCCGATTCTGTATAATTACTTAAATACTAAAAACTATTGCTATGCATAAATTAACTGCCCTAATATTACAGCATCATCTGTTATCTTTGCCTTTGACACATCCCCTGGTTTTGCGTTTTTGTATTTTCAGTAGACAGATTAGTTTTTCGGCTCACATTTTCAGGTAATGATTTTCGATCGTCCGCAGTATTTATTTATTAATTTTTTATTTATATATTATTAAGACAGCGAACGATCAATCTGTAACGTATTTAATTGACCTCCGGTTAATCAAAAGCTGACTGTTATATATTTCCAAGACAAAGAAATAAAATGGCAGGTAAACTTGGAAAATTAGTGATTTAAAAAAATGCATATTAGTGATTAAATATTAAAAGAAACCTTTTTTTGTTAAGGAAAAAATTTACTCATTTAGTAGCAATGGTATTTTGCACCGATCACACAATACAATAATTTTAAAAGTGCATTTTTTGAAAAATTCGAAATTTCTTTTACCCCTTATGTGTCTTCAATGGAAATTTCAATGAATAAAGTACTGCCATTATCATAGTTTCAGATATTTTTCAACACGTTCATAACAATAAAGCATTATTATGTACTTTCTACACTTTAATCTGTTGCTGGAAAACATTATTGCACTCCAAAATAGGAAGATGTATAAAGAGTTTTGCGAAATGGTTTTTTTCTTTCTTATGCATTAACAGCAAACAAGAAGTTGGAATGGATCATGACATGTGTTTTGGAGCTCTTTTCGATAGAAAGAGATAGGCAATTCCTTAGAAAATGAAAAATCCGTATAGGAATAATTTATGAACTATTCCTTTCAAGTTATGTTTTTATATATAACGTATCTCATAAATAAATTCAAGAAAAACATTTGAATTCGTGTATGTAATAGATTGCTTTTCTTCCTAAGGTGAAAAACAAAAAGGGAAATACTGTCTTCTATTATAACAGAGATTTTTGAAATATTTTAAGAGGTAATGGGATGAGAAAATGTCAGCAAAATTTGGTCTTCATTGTTGGGTTTAATGAAATTTTCATAGAAAATCTTAATTTTAATTGCTCTGTATTGTGTGAGAATGTAAAAAAAATTATAACAAAGCTAAAAATTTCGCTGGTAAGGATATGAAATGTTAATTACTTTCAGATAGATTTGAATTTACCATATGTTATGGATGAGAAATGGATTCGTTATGTCATGCAACAACTAAAGATGATGAGACGCAGCTTGGTATTTAGCTTTGATTCGCCTTCCAGTCAAATGGCAGATGTGTTTCATGATGTGCTGCCTGAAAATGACTTTCAGCTTCAACATGTTTCAGCAAATGAAAAATCCATATTTTATTAAGCAAACTTATAGAAGAAGTACATGAATGTATGGAAGCGTAATTTTGGTAGCCGAAATACCATTCTCAAACTTCAGATTTATGAAACACGCATACCATTCGACTTATGGCAAACCTACGCACTATACTATAGCACAGTGTTTCCCAACCTTTTTTTCCTCGCGAACCAAAAGAAAGGTCCGAAAAAATTTGATGAACCCCCTACGTAGTCGTTAATGACAGGTAAGAAAAAAAGCAATAAAATTTGATAGAATATATATTTTTCATATTGCAGAAAAATTGATTATATTAATCTTGAAACATTTAAATAAAACATTAATAAGACTAAAATGATGGCTATAAAAGTTGAAAACAAGATAAATTTAACAAACTGGTTCTTATGTTTCACATTTGGAAAAACTCTTAATGGGATATTTGTGGCTGTTTCATAGAACAAAGCAATTCAAAGTCAGGCTTAATATCTGACAATTTCAGTCTTAGATCAGGTTCTGCATTTAACCTGCTTCTGTATTTATCTTTCAGATAAGTATATGTTGAAAATCCTTTCTCGCATATATATGGGTTGCAAAATGGTAATAGAACTTCAATGCATTTTTTTGACAGAACAGGATATTCATTTTGTATCCTGAGCCAGAAGTCAATTAAAGATTGATCTTTAAAAATTGCTTCTAGAGAACTGTCACAAGATAACTCTATGAGTTTTTCTTTTTTCAGTATATTTAGAGAGGTTTCTGAACTTACATTTCCTTGAAATGGATTCGTATCCAGTTGTTTGAGATGGATATATTGCATCTGTTAGGAAAATAGTCATCGAAAGTTAATCGAAGATAGTTCAGATGTTCACATATACTCCTTTTAATGTTTTCGTCAAGTGTAATTGAATATTCTGATAAAAAAAGTGCTGACAGAATCGAAACATCCGTATTCATTCATCTGCACGCATTGAGTCCAAAAATTGATCTTTTTCAACATAGCCTCAATTCTATCTTGCACACTGAAAATGGTGACACCCTTGCCTTGTAAAGACATATTTAATTTATTCAGTTTACAAAAAATGTCAGCTAAATACGCAAGCTTTTGCAGCCAAAGAATATCGGATATACAAGAAGCAAATGAAACGGATGATCAATAAAAAATGCTTGAACTTCAGACTTTAATTCAAACAAACGCGTCAAAACTTTACCACGAGAAATCCATGTAACTTCTGTGTGTGAAGTAGTAAAGAAACGTGGAAACTTCCAAAATCCTCACAAAGCGTACGGAATAGACGGCAATTTGTAGCACGCGATTTTATAAAGTTCACAATTTTCACAGCATCACTTAAAGTAGTAGATAACTCTGCAGGAATACGCTTACATACTAAAGCTTGTCTATTAATACAACAATGAGTCCATTGAATTTTCTCGTTGATCTTCTTGACCCATGCCCCAAAACCAGAAAATTTTCCTGTCATTGATTTTGCACCATCTGTACACACACCCACACAATAAGACCAGCTTATTCCATTCTTTTCAAAATACCCATTGATCATATCGAAAATCGCTTCTCCAGTTGTGTAGGTTTTCAAAGGATTTGCAAATATTACATCTTCTTGAACAATATTCGTAAAAAGATATCTAACGTAGACAAGCAAGACTGCGGCATTTGTTACATCCGTCGATTCGTCAAGTTGAATTGCAAAATAATTCAATTTTATTCTTTTTAGAAGTTCGTTCTCCACATAATTAGCCAAGTCATTAATTCTACGCGACACCGTGTTGTTTGATAAGGGAACTACCTCAATTTTCTTTGCTGCCTTTTCCCCAAGCATACATTTGGCAATATCTTTCGCATATGGTCCAATTAAATTTTCTGCTATTGTATGCACTTGTCCAGATCTTGCAATTCTATAACTTACTCGAAATGATGCTTCAAGGGCCATTTTACTATCTTCGTTTGAAGTCAAGAAAGAAGAAAGGCTACACTTTTTGATATCTGCTATTTTTTTTTTTTTTTTTTTTTTTTTTTTTTTTTTGAAATATTCAAGAGGTTTATCTTTGTGTGCTGGATGTTGTGTTTCAATATGTCTACGAAGAAGTGTTGGTTTTAAACTGCTGTTGGAAAGAACTTCGTTACATGTAACACAAAGCGGTTTAGGTTCCGACTCATCCCCAGTAAAATGAAAACCCAATTGTAGATAGTCGCTGTCATATTTTCGCTTTTTTCCTTTTCTATCATCATTTCCTTCGTTTTTCGTCTGGTGAAACGGTACCTCACTACAGCTTTCAGTACTATCATCTCGATTATCATGTCTCGTTTCTAAACGACCCGTAAAACCATCAATCCATAATAAAAATAAGCTATAATAATAATTAAATTAATAATTATTAAATAATTTACACGAGAACTTGACAGTCACAGTATCACTATCACTCAAGCTTTACAAGTGCTAAGCTTATGTATGAACATCGACAGACAGACAGACAAAATAGACAGTTAATACAACACTACTCTCAGTTAATACTACCAGTTTCCGGTTGTGAACAAGTATCTAATTCTAAAATCTGTAGTAAACTGCCTTAATTTGATATTTAATTCCAATTGTATTGTAAAAACAAATATTACATAGAACGGAAAACTGCTGCAATGATTTTAAATATAAAGCAGAACATGATGCTAATCACATTGATAAAATGTTTTAAATATAAATAAATGTTTTTAATAAAAAGATAATAGCATTTTATTACTTGAATAAGAGTAATAAACTATAATCTATAAAATTGTTGATATAATTTGATATTGAAGCAGTAATTTTGAAAAACAAATAAGGAAAAAAGAAATGAAAATATTGAAATTTATTATAGATTTCTTAACAAACAGGCAGCGAACAATGTGTTTTACAGTGGGTGTGTTCTTTAATTTTATTTAATTTTATTTTAGTGGCGTTTTAAAAAAATCCGCTATCACAATATTAATTTCGCGAACCCCCTCTGCAAACACTGCGAACCCCCAGGGGTTCGCTACCACCTGTTGGGAATCACTGCTATAGCGCATGGTGATTCCTGGACGCATACTACAGTATAGACGTCGAAGGTGTGATATCACAAAGTTTCTCTTCTTTACACCCCGTAAAGGACAAAGTTCCACTTGAAAGAGAAGGGTTCCGGAATATTCTTTCATTACAATTTCAGCACTGACATCATCTTTTCATTTGACTAAACCAAAAACCTATTCATATAGCAATCTTGCTAAAATTCCTAAGTAATATTTATGTACGGTATTCTCCTTTTTCTTACTTTCTTTTACGAAGTAAAGGAAGTAAAGTCTAACGGTACAAAATATTGGTCATTAAATTTAAACAGAAATATCTGTTTTGACGGTTCTGAAATCCATTTTGATTTTTTTTTACCTGATGTCTATATGCAAGAACAGAATAAAGGATTCTTTATTCTAAAAAGGATTGTATAAATGCATTCAAATTCAATTAAAAATTATGTGATGTCTACACGTAATTATTGTATTACACGTAATTATTGTAGTAATTATTGTAATTTGTACACTGTGTAAAAAAAAAAATGGGTCAGTTCTATATCTCCCGTTGTAAAAAAAAATGGTCGCATTTTTCATGTCTCGAAAGCGCGACTTAGGATATGTATTAGATTTATATATAACATTGTTCTAATATAGATATTTTGACACAAAACGGATTTTTTCTGAAATGGCATGGCAAATATTTTCAGTATTTCGATTCTACGACTCAATTTATGCCAAACTGGCATGTTTTGCATAAATCACACGAGCAGTTTTTAAAAAATTAGCTTTCAAAACTTTAGCTTTTCAATATTAATTGAATTTGATATATATTTATTAATATATCTTTTTATATTAAACTTATTTGATTCTTCCTTTCATAATTCGAAATTTAGGTTTGTTCCAAATAAAATTCGCTCTATTTTTTATAACTTATTTTTAAAATTTGAATTTTTAAATAACTTTTATAAATTTTTCGAAAAACGTTTTCAATAATAAACTATGCAATTTTTGCCATTATCTTAAGATAGATCTAGTTCTAAGCATATCTGCAAAAAATTAAAGTTTTTTATTCAAAATTTCCTAAGGTATATGTGAATTTACATGTTGGCGCATTTTGCAGTTTGGCTTATTTATTATAAGCGATAATAACGAAAATGTGGTTTACGCACTTTTTTTAAATTTACTTGAAAGTATAAACGATGGTATTTTTTTCTCCGCTCGTGCACAAAGATAAAAGGCAAAGGAAAATAGGTTGCTATAAATTAAGAAGTTCGCCAAATGAATTATTCTTGCCGCAAATTAAAAAAATAAGATAAATTTCTCCATAAATTTCTCACCAAAATTTACAACATGTAATATTTAGGCATAATTTGAGTCGTAGAGTCAAAATACGGAAAACTTGTTATTGCAGTAAAAGATCTAATTTTGTGTCAAAATACTTATGTTAGAAATATGCTGTATATAAATCTAATACATATCCTAAGTCGCGTTTTCGATACATGGAAAACGCAAATTGAATTTCGTCAATCGGCCCAGTAGAACACTGCCCCCTTTTTCTTCTGCTTAGTCTACCTTGCATAATTCAAAAACGTCGAATTTTTTTAAGTATGCGAGAAAGTAGAACGTTGAAATTTTGTATGTGGAATATTTATAACATCTATTTGCGCACCTTCTTGTCTTATTGCAATCGGCAGTACCAAAAGTATATTGTTACGTGAATACAGATTTGTAATAGATTGAATGTACAATTCCAGTTCACGCGGAACTAAATAAATCGCAAATAACAACTAAACAATTGAACTGAGATGTTCTCTCTCTGCCTTTTCATAGCTTTCAATTAGTCGCAAGATACTTCTAGTTATTTTCTCCTTCTCGAGATTTCTGAAAAACAATAAAAGGATGAAATTACAGTTACATCTAACACAGTGGTCAATTACATTTATTCAGTATCAAAAACCAACAACCGATATATTCAATGTTAAAAGCACGTGCTCCTGTATTTTTACTTTTCCGGCATAGCTTTCTCTTAAAATTTGTCTCGCTCTGCATTGCACGGGGAAATAAAAACATTTTAATTATATTTCTACTAAAATTAGCTATATTAATACTAAATTCGTAACAATACATATTCAGCCAACTTAACCGACTTAAAAGTACTAACCTGCCCGTTATATTTGCAGTCAACAGTGTCAGGAATCATAAAAGAATTTTCACCTAAGATATCTTTTCAATGGGTACCTTCACACTGCGGTATTTATGGGAATGAGATGGCTGATATGCTTGCGAAAAAGGGGCTATGATTCTTCAAAAGCCCAAAACGAGTGCAAGCCTCCATTCTATTAAGCTTCTGACATCGCTGACATATCAAAAGACTTTTAGAGATTTTGCCAATCGGGCTTGTAAGTTCAAGCCTTGGAGTGTTCTCTTATCAAACCCAGCTTTTGTTCCTGACCACCCGCAAAAAGTTGCGGTTGCATCTTTTAGACTATTGACGGGACAGGGAAAAGTGGACGGAGCACCAGAACTTCGTTAGTGACTTTTACAGGTGTTGCTCCGCCGCACTACTGTACCCCGCTGGGCTTTTAGTTGGCCCGCATCGGATGCTAGCCTACCAGACATTTACATAGTAATTTTACATTAATACTAGACTTACGTATTGAATATACAATTACAAAGACACAGTATACAATTATTACAAAGAAATTAACCTATTGACAAAAGTTGTATTATGGCAGATTAATATAACATAATTACTTAGAATATACATACAAACTTTCACTGTACATTGTACTTCATACAAACAATATATTTACATTAGTATATCTAGTTACATCAAATTACAATAACCATCTTTTTAAGGAACTAATTGGGGAAGAATTTTTTTTCTTTCATCTTATTATACTTAGTTGAATTACTAAGGCGAATTATCTTATTAAAACATTTCCTTTCATTTTTTAACTTGTTACACACAACTGCATCAGCACTGAAGTCTTACATTATTATTTTTGTAAATTAATGTATCATAAATACAGAAAATATACATTAGAAAATCACATAATACTTACATTTACACTAATATATCTAATAGATTCGTATATTATTTTTTAATTAATGATTTAATTATTACAAGATTTTCCCCCTCATCTCCTAATACAGTCCAAATTCTTAATGTAACTATTTTATAAAAACTATTCATACCATATTTAGCCTATTTCAGACATTTGCAATATTTCTGAAATCTTGCATTATTTTTGCAAGTTGTGGAATAAGAGGTATTTATACAGATGAGATAGCATCTTGACATATGTTTTCTCTTTTATATGCGAAAAGTTTCTTCATAATCAAGGAAACCTTTTGTTTCAATTGAGGGATCGTTAGCATGCATTTAATGTACTCAGGCGTAATTTGTGACCTTCCTTTGCAGTGTAGCTCTTTTGTGAGCTGGCACTTGAAAATATAGTGTTCTGGGTCTCCCTTTTCCCCACATACGCACTTGTCTGAATCGCTCAAATTTCGTGCAAAGTAGTACGTGGGGAAAGGACCATGTCCAGATAAGAATATGTTGATGAAGAAGTTATAAGAGATTGGATCATATGTGGGTTTCTTGTAGAAGTTAAAAAGCCTTCTACCTACTTCTGCATTTTCCCATTCAGCTTGCCATTTCTTTAATGTAATTTTTTTCAACATATGTTTCGCATACGATTTAGGGAATGGGACATTGATTGGAGGTAGAGATGGGTCTTGAGCTGCATTCTTAGCAAGCGCATCTGCCCTTTCATTTTGGGCTTGTCCAGCATGCGCTTTTACCCACTTTGTTTTTATAGATTTTTATTTTTATAGATGTTTTGTTATCGTAGATATCTTATACTATTAATGATTTGTTTCCTGTATCATCGACAGCTTTAATTG